CAGCCTCTAGAAGAGAAGACTGAGGGGGGATCTCCTCATTATATATAAATATCTGAGGGGTGGGAGACAGAAGGATGTAGCCAACCTCTTCTCAGTGTTTTGTGGGGATAGGACAAGGGGCAATGGCTGCAAGTTAGAGCACAGGAAGTTCCACACTGACATGCGAAAGAACTTCACGGTGAGGGTGACGGAGCATTGGAACAGGCTGCCTAGGGAGGTTGTGGAGTCTCCTTCTCTGGAGATATTTAAGGCCTATATGGATGCCTACCTTGGCAGCCTGCTCTGAGGAACCTGCTTTGGCAGGGGGGTCGGACCCGATGATCTTTCAAGGTCCCTTCCAACCCCTACAGTTCTGTGATTCTGTGATTCATCACTCATGTTTTCTTCTTCTATATGTACTTTTGCTACTTTCTGTACTGAAAAGTGGCATCACTGTTGTTATACAGCCAACCTTTTCTAAAGTCAAAGATAGATTCACTTTCTGAACAAAACACTGGTGCATCACAGAAAAACTGTGATGAAATTTTTTTGTGTGACGAGTAATGTTATTACTAACAGTATCCTGGAAACTCCATTACTTATAAGTATTGCAAAAACAATGTCTCTAAATGATAATACTATAAACTTCAATGTTAGTTGAATGCCCTGACCTTGCTTATTTCCAGCCTAATTCTTACAGACATCTACCTGTAATGTCTGTTACTCTGACAGTACCAAGGTATTTCACATTTTTGAGTACTCTTCATGGTGACAACACACAAAAAATATCTCTTTGGATCTGAGAATTGCTTTAGCCATGTATCATTAGAGCTGGAACCCCAAAAAGTATTTCAAGGGCTTGAGCAATGTGTTCTTAATGCATACCCATGGCATTGAGGACTGTATTAGGAAAAATTTCAAACTATTGCTTCACTAGTCTCTTGTGAACAGTAGATCATGTTTCAGACTGTAGGCTTAAATTGGTGGCTTTTTTTTTTTTTTTTTTTTTTTTTTTTTTTGCTACAACAGAAATAAATTTCACAGGTAGAATGTATAATGTAAGTTTTTATAGGGAGGGAAAAAAAAAGGAAAAGAAAAGAAAAAAAAAGCATAAACTAGTTCACAGTTGGCTTTCAGTTAGTTCTACATATTAGCAGTCACAAAAATGAGGTTTGTGGCCTCAGGCACTAAATTCAATCACTTCATCTTTTCGAGTAGCAACCCTATTTTTGCTTCCCTCCAGGCACACACTCACAGGGCAATCATGTTGAATTCTCAATTCAAGTATGAATGGTTAGCTAAGCTTTTCTCTCAACAAACCACATTATAGAAAATTTAGGGAAAATCAGGCTATTATTGAAAATCACAAAAGCCAGATTTTGGTAACATGATAGCTCTAGGGACTGGAAAAAGAAAAATCAAACAGTTGATCAAGTCTAAGCCATGACACAGGTTATGCTTGATACCATCATCTAGTAGGTGTTACAAACCCTGTGTGAAGTGATTCAGTGGTCCCAACTCCATAGTTAAATGTCCCAAATAAAAAAGTTGCAAATAACATGACGTTTTTGTTGTTTGTTTTTTAATAGGCTTCAACAGATAAATAATGGATATGCTAGAACTGATGATCTGTAGCAGGTACCTTCAAATCAGGTTGAAATATTGGTGAAATAATCCCACTGATTATATTGTTCTGGACTGGCAATGATTTCAATATTTTTTTTCAGAGAGTTGGATTTTTATTTATTTATTTATTTTGGTAAGTAGACCAAATATTTTTATAAAGGCCACAAACATTATTTTATCACTGAGTTATCACCCACTATTGATGCAAAAGAGAAAATAATCAGTACCATCATGTTGTGTAGGTAGGGACAGAAGAGGTAGGTGGGGATAGAATATTCTGAAATTCTTAAGAAGCTCTGCTACATAACGAAAATATATCCCCAGCAGCTTTTGGGCCCGGGCCAGATTCACAATAACAGAAACATAATTCTTTTGATTTTGTAGTATACAGTTTAACCATAGTATATTGTAAGGTGAGAAAAACTGTAAAAATAAGTCCTTGGTATAATAATGTGACAACAAATTATAATCATAGTAACACATTCTGTATGTGTTATCACTTAACATCAGGGATTTGTTTGTGTTACAGAATTATTGTTTCCATTTTATTGATTGAGAAATCAAGGCCCAGAGAGATTTGTGATTTTTTTTCAGACATGCTGAGTTTCCCCATTTGAGTGAATAGTTGTTGGTCCTGTTCCCATAGGTCAAGTGTTCAGCTCATTAAAATGTTCCACCATCACAATTCAATGACCTTGTGGGCAATCTTTGCAGAGGCTAATGACTTATTTAACATCAGCATTGATCTGCCAGGTATGATCTCTTTGAGTTAGAAGATCTATAAATACAGCTTAATCATTCAAAGGGCTTAATTAGCTACTGCATCACTGCAGTTTTATGTTGATGTAATGTCATTGCCTTTATATGAGATTACTGAAGAATCAGACTGTGATTTAATATTTACTAGCTAGTCTTTTAAATACCTCAGGCTCTTCAGATCTTATTTTCAGAGATGCTGCTATCTAGTGCCCATGGGCTGTATGAATTTTAGCTTGGACTGCTGGCTAGTCCAAACTTCTGTATCTTTGCATGCAGTTGTGAAGACTGCATGCACAATGTGTCTAGATCAACATATATTTAAATAGGTATTAATGTGCAAAAATAAATCCACACACAAAATTTGGTAATTGCATACACATATACATTTCTGGAAAACTGATGTTCTAAGATGCTTTTTCTTTTCAAAATCTTTAGTTAATGGTAAGTCTGTTAGGGAGATTGCTATTCTTTTCCTTTGCTGTTTCCTATGTGAATAGCTAGAAAAACATGCTCTCATTTATCTTTGACAGAACTAAAAATATGTGATTGTGTTCATAATCCTTATACTTCAATTATATTTCATGGTAATATTTGCTACTTAAACATTATGCAAGCTGTTCCCCATTTAATGACTGTTTGCTCCTGTTCACAAAATTTCAAGGTTAGCAGAAGGTCAAGCTGCACTTTGCTGAAGAAGCCAGTTATAAATCTCACTAATGTATTTCATCATGTGATGTTTTTCTGGTCATACTGGTGATTGTTCTGGAGTAGCAAAAGGTTAGCTGAGCACACATGATACAGTGATTACTTCTGAATTCACTGTTTTCACACAGAGAAAATATAGATAATGTTGCTTCCACATTTCTCTTTCCTATTGCTGTATTTGAACTGAGAACTGTATTCTTCCTTAAACATAATGAAACTGTGCTAGCTGATGGCAATAAAGGTTTCCCTGTGAGAATTTTAGTTGTATGTTAGGTTCTAGGGACATCTGCAGTGAACACCTTCTGTTAGCTGTTTTCTAATTGATAGGTTCTTGATTATTAGCTTCTTCCTAAGAGACTTATCCTTTATTCAAAAGAACTGCACCTTTAGTCTCAAGCTGTCTGCTGTATAGAGAGTAGTTGAATGGGGAATATGTACTGGGTAAGTGTGAATATAGCAAATAGAGGCTTTAGGAGTTTATGTATAGGAGACTCCAGGTAATGTGGAAGAAGCACTGGTATTTATGATCCACAAGGCTCAGTCCCTAGCCTTGGCTGGAGAAATCACCTTCAGAAAACTAGAAACTATGACCCAGACAGTGATCTGGAGTGAAGATGCTCCTGCACAGGCAGCACCCATCTCAAACAGCATCCATATCAGGCAGCATCAAAGTCAATAATTTTTAGATGTTTGCTATGAAACAGAATGTATTTGTAAGCATGTTTCTCCCTTTCCCTTTCATAGAATGGAGGATACCCAAAGGAGAGGAAAAAAAAAAAAAAAAAAAAAAGGAAGTTGCTCTTCCTTTAACAACTAATGTTCTAACCCTACTGTAGAAGGCCACCAAATATGTAAATATGTCAAGATATGCACTGTAAAGCCATGTTGGCTGCTACCAATCAACTCCTGGCTCTCCATGTGCCTTAGCATAATTTCCAGGAGGATCTGCTCCATGATCTTGTTGGGCATGGAGGTGAAACTGGCTGGTCTGTAGTTCCCTGGGTCTTTCTTTTTTTCCTTTTTGAAAAAATGGGGGTTATGTTTCCCCTTTTCCAGTCACTGGGAACTTCACCAGATTGCCACAACTTTTCAAATATGATAGATAGTGGTTTAGTAACTTAATCTGCCAGTTCTCTCAGGATCCCCAAATGCCATCAGGCTTTATGGACTTGTGCACATTCAGGTTCCTTAGATGCTCTCAAACCTGATCTTCCTTTACAGTGGGTAGTTCTTCATTCTCCTAGTCCCTGCCTTTGCCTTCTATGACTTGGCTGGTGAATGTTATGTGATTGGACTCAGCCCATTAATATAGCCTGTCCTCTCTGCAAAGCCTTCCTGCCCTCAAGCAAGGAATGGAAAAGAAGTTTGGCTTTGCAAAGTATGGTATGCTGTCACATCTACAAGAAATTCTTGCAAAGCTGATTCTGAAATGAATGGGTGCTTATGCCCTTGCCCAGACATGCTAAGGACAGAACAGAGAGGGGTAGCTGAGACAAAAACTGTCCCTTAGACAGATGTTCTGTGAGTGACTGAGCATGAACAGACTAACTCAGGTAGATTTTACACTCACATTGAATTTCAGGGAGCCCAGCACTTAAGAGAAACAGGAAACACTAATTAATTCAGGGGCCTTTTGGCCTGTGAGTTCTCTATCTTTGATGATTTTTCAATGGTTCAGGACCAAATTAATTATTTTATTAAAACACTTATTTTATGTTCATGGTAAAATACTCCAAGACATTCTGAAGGCATCTTTTTGATGCTAAAGGTCACGTGTTTTCCCACCAGCCATGTTTACTCAACTGACTTTAGTGACAATAAAGAGCCAAAATAGTTGATTGAGTTAATAACGCACAGATTGAAGTATTTCTAAGTAGCAATCACAGAACAATCATATTATGACCTGTCTAGTCAATTGCACATGAATTATGAAGCATTAAAATAGGCCTTGATGGCCACTACCATAACAAAGGTACAAGTAGCAACGCACCAATTGGTTTTATGATGACATTCATAGCACAAGAAATGAGTCAAGTGTGAGTAGAAGTGCCCAACATTTTTTATTATATTTCTGTGTTTTAAATATTACCTGAAATGCTTCCATCATTTTCCCAAAAGGGTTTGTGGGATCTTTACCTTTATAGTTTGTATTAGACATTCCAGCAGCAGGAAAAAAAAAAAAAAAAAAGGCTGAGTGAACTTGACTTGCTTATAAGGAAGAAAGGAGTGTGTAATGTTTAAAAAAGTGACTGTGCCTTACAGGAAGACACGTGTTAGAAGTTGCCAGGTATGCGGCCAGATCAGTGATCCCCCAGAAGATCCCCCATCTGTGCTGCAGATGCCTATTTAAATATTGTAAGTTCTAACCCCAATGTTAATGGAGGGAGGTCTTTGATTTTTTCCCAATTGCATGCAATGTACACTCACAATCAAATGGTGTGTGGTTGGCCTTGAGTCTGTGAATGCCTGTGAACAAGTGGAGTTGGGCTGTAAGAAGGTCCCTTTAGAACATTTCACTGACAAGGGCTTGCACTGCCTCAAGCAGAAAATCGCATGCCTAAGTGCTGGCTTCTGTTATCATAGCTAAACAAACCCCGAGAGAGGATTTTAGGTTTGTGTTTAAGGAAAAAGATGTTAGTCTTTTGAGTTCTATTCTCTAAAACAGAATAATCTCGATCCACTGGAAAGCAAAACAAAATAAAAATCAAGATTTCATGATCCAATAGATTACAGTTAGACATTGTAACCTATATAACTTAATCTGGAAATCACTATGCATAAGAACAGAAGTAGCTGAAATATAGCTTATAGGCAGGTTGTAACCTATGCTTGCTCCTCTGAGATTAATAGCACCTTCATCTCTGGAAGAGTATCAATCATCATTAATAGGTTGGATTCCAGGCTTCTGCCTTCATTGCTTTTCTGATTATTGAGGACTCATAGAGATAAGGCATATGCTGTAAATAATAAGCCTACCTGGTCTCCAACCAAAGTTACAAAAATCTGAAGTTACTTATTTGGGTGACCTGCACAAGTCTCAGTTATCTGAGATTTGAATGGATTGCTTGTATTTTAGAAATCTTTAACCATAAACAGAAATTCTTATACAGTAAAATATAAAAACATATTGGAAACTTATATGTATTTTATGGAGTGTGTATATATATATATATTTATTAACTACTTGCTAAGACTTGTGTGTGTTTTGGTACTTCTGCAGCAGAACAGGTAGAAACAGAAAAAAACATAAGCTGTATTTCTTTCTGTATGGAGATAAATTTAGCTAAATAAATAGGTGTTTGTACTGATATTTTATTTAACCAGTTTGATAGAGGCTTCTGTGGTAAAATTTAGATTTGGCTTCAAAGCAAACTTTAACTCATCCCCAAGCAGAGTAATTTCCTCTAGTGCTCTAGGCTACATCTACATTCAGGTAGAACTATCCAATAACTATTGCATTTCTTATGTATGTAAACATGCTCTATTTTATAGAGAACAAGAGAAACTGATGGTCATTGAGTATTCATAGTTTCTTTCCTATTACCTGAGAACTGAAATTCTTTAGTGTCTTCTAAAATAGGTCATTAAGTTTCTCTTATGTCTAAAATACATATGAATTTACTAGCCTCAGTATATGCATTTTAAAGAATTAATAAGAATTTAATAAATGAGTTGTGTCATTCTCATTAAAATGTACTACACATTACTGCACACAGTTATGTTAAAAATGCTTTTTCAGTGTAAAGCAGTTAGAGATATAAGTTAGCTGAATACTAAGCTCTCTTTAACTCCCTAGTATATATGACATAATAATTAATTATAAGATCACCCATGAGATTTTGCACAGAATAATTGATCCTGTCTGAATAAGGAGCTATTCAGCTCTGTTTTCCTTTTAAAAATTGTTATTGTTATTGTTATTATTTTTATGTTAATACTAATATCAATGTCAATATTATTTTGGTGTGTTGCTCTCTTTCCATCCCCAGCAATCTCCCAGACTCTTGATTGCCAGAGAAAATCTTGCCATCAGTGAAAAGCAGTGTCTTTTTCCCAGTCACAGCTTCCGAAATAGAACAGTTGTTTTGGCTGTAGTTTAAGAAAAACACATAAGGGGCTGATACCTGTCATGGAGAATATTAACCAGAATGCGTAAAAATTGGCAAAGAAAGAAGCAACAAGGTCTTATGACTGGATCCAGTACTTTAACAACAAACAGGACCATGAGTCCTGACTGCAGACTATTGTCTGTATACATTTTTTGGCTCAGAACAAGAAGGTTCTGCAGTGAGGATGTGGTTTTCTAACTTTAGAGCAGGAAGCTAGGTCACGGCTGAGATAATTAAGAGAAGCTCTTGAGGGAAGGTAGTAGGCCCTGGTAAAGGACTGTTGTCCTTTCCTTACTCTAATACAAGCTTCATTTCTAGTGGAGAAAAAGACTGAACCTTCCTATGAGTCTTTACTTTTGTCACAGAGCATGTACAGGACAATGTTTAAACGGGATCTAGAGTTTTAAGCAGAAAACTTTGAAAGCCAAACTGAAACTGCAGTTACCTTTGCACTAATGGAGGAAAACCACCTACCAGAGGAATCTTCTCTTTCTGCCAGGGTATTGCTATTCATGTTCAATTAAATGTCTGCAGAGAAAAATTCTCAGTAAATGAAGGACCTTACTGTTGTCACTTGGTTAATCAGAAATGACATTTCCAGGAGAGCAAACATAGTTTTTCTTCAGATAAAGCATTTCTACAAAGTAAAAACAGTATCTATGTCATAAATACTATGAAGTTATAAATAGAAAAAGACCTGTTACATAAAAGGTACATCTACATGTTAGAAAGACAGAAACAAATGTATTTATACCTACAAAATTAAAGTTTAAATGTATTTTATTCTGTCATCTTTCTGCAATCTAGACAACATCAGATATGTGTCAGAGGTACAAAACAATGAGCCAAATGCTAGTAAAAGACCAGTAAGAAACAGTACCAGCAACACTCCTTTCCATTAAATTAATCTTATATCCTTGAAATGCAGAAGGTCCAGAGAAGAGTGGAATGGAGTTATATTTGTTTCTCCATTTTTACTTCATAAAGCAAGAAAGAAAACTGCATATGGAAGCAAAATATGAAAGTTTTAAAATGTTATTATTATTTTAAATGAAGTTTACATGTTCTTCAGAGAAGTTAAATCAAATGTATGGTATAGATTTTAGTCTGTATAAAGGCTGACAAAGGTGAGGAGCATGGAGGTGGAAAAAGGTGCTTCTCTTTAAGAAAAGCTTTGAAAATAACTGAGTGTGAACTGAACGCTATTTTTTGCAGAGTTGTTTTTGTGAATTCCTAAAATATCATTGGAGGAGTCCAGTATCTTAGGTGTGTGTTACCTAGCTCTGCCTCAATCTGTAATTGAATGTTAGTAATGAGCTCCTGACAAAGTGTCACAAATGACAAAAGGCCCATATTGGACCCAGTTGTAATACATTTGGGACAGGAAAGGATGGGGAGAGCTACACCAGTATTTGCCCTGAACAAACTGGTAAGTGTGTGCCATGCCCGACAGTGCTCATGAAGAGGTATACCCTATTGCTGCCGTTCCTGCTGTCTCCCTGGTAAACTCATGTATATTAAAAGAGCTTTTAATACAAAACTGTAACCATATCTGTTTTGAATATTTACTATCAGATGACCATGGCTCCTGGAATCAGAATTTGCCTGTTCATAGCCAAGTATGAGCTTTTTACCTGTTTTTAGCACTTATTCCAACTCCCTCAACTGAGTAACGTTAGCAATAGTAGACTTTGGTCAGAGTTCAAATAAGCAAGTTTTTCTGTTCTCTTTGGACACAAGTCCCAGATCTTAAGTGATGATATTTATCATGGCAATGCCACCTTCACATGGAAGAACATATGGACCATGTATTTAAAAATATAAAAAGCAAGAAGATTGTGTTTCTTTGGGGTTTGGAGAAAGAAACCCCAAATATCAACAACGAGATCTTTGTCATTTTTAAATTTAGATTTTTCTATTTTTTTTCTAAATTTTTGTTGATGCCTAGATAACACTCTGTGAAGGATTGGTCACTATTGTCACAATCTGTCCATCCTGTACCAGAGAGCCCTTGAAGGGAATTTCCATCCTGACGCTGCTGGGTGTCTTGGCTTTTTGGAATGCTACAAAGCAAATTGTAAACAGTCTTCGCTACACCAGCACAAGCAGCAGCTTTAGTACTGCTTTCTGCTGAATGTGCTCCACAAAGATTCAGTGAATGACGTTTTTTCAGGAATAGTAGGCACTGTCTACCTTCTTGTTGTAACACACTAGTTTTCTTCAAACTTACAAACCATATTAACTATATTAATCACGTTCATTAATTATGTTTTTCTGTTTTACAGCTTTAAAACAGGGATCAGTCCAAAATCATGAAGTCTGTTTTAACTCTTTTCACTCCAATTTTAATAGCTAAGAAAATGCTCCTGAGCAGTATATCTTTCCTAGGTACAAAAGAGTCATTATTACCCTTAAAAGCAACAAGCTTTATGCCTGATTTGCTTTCATATGAATATGGTACAACATATTTCTGCTGAATTCTGTCTTGGCACACTTCCTGTTCAGGAGCTGGCACTGATGACTCAGCCTCACAGTCACTTCTTGGCTTTACAGATATGCATCTTAACCGCCTTCAAGGAAACTGTGAACATTTGCATATCTGCTTTTGCATTGTCCTCCGCTATTGCACATGGTATACCTCTGTTGCAATGACTCTCAAGGATCAGGTGAGTTTTATTTCTGAAGATGCTTTCCTTCAGATACTTTCATCAGCCTAAGGACTAATGAGAAGTTCACAAATAAAATTGCCATAGTCATAAGATGGTCATAATCCTCAAGGAAGATTATTTTCTTTTTGACACATATTCTGTAAAGAAAAAAAATAATAAAATTTAGTGTGCAGCATCTGGGCTCTACCACAGCAGAAGGACAGAGAAAGAGAACAGGTGCTTCAAGCTGGGGAGATCAGAAGAGTACTGTAAAGGGGACTGAGAAATGCGTGGCTCAAAATGTCATCTGTTATCTCGGTTCTTCAGGCAAATAACCTCATTAACTTGGCTTTAAAGTAACGTCCTGTGAAGTGGCTTCATACTACAGTTTCTAGATTTTACCAGTACCATAACAGTGTTTCTTGACATTCTTTTTCCAATAATGATAATTTTCTTAATGACACAGTTAGTTACCATTACTGTCCAACAGGTGAAATTGTCAGAAAAACAAAAACAAAACAAACAAACAAACAAACAAACAAAAACACTTCAGAATATTATTGGTTACAGCCACTAACAGGAGAACAGTGCAGAAAAGGTTGGGTAGAGGATCCTGATCTTCTAAGGCCTTCTTGGATACCTCTGAAGGACTCAGCGTAGGACTTCCTTGGTCACATCAGACCAAGATGGAGCACAGAAGTGAGATTACTTCTCCCCATCATGAGTTCCTCCACTCAAAGGTTGAGAGAAACAAGGAGGTTATTGAACTCCACATGTAGAAAGTCTCTGGATTAAGTCTGGTATCTTTTTGATGTGTGGTACATCAATCTAGATGTGTGGTACATCTGTACACACATTAACAGCTACAAAAAGCAGCTAATAAGAAAACGTTTTACAAAAATACAAAATTCTCTGATATATATATTTATTTTATTTTATTTTATTTATTTTATTTTATTTTATTTTATTTATTTATTTTATTATTTATTTTATTTTATTTTATTTATTTTATTTTATTTTATTTATTATTTTATTTTATATTTTATTTTATTTTATTTTATTTATTTTCATTTCATTTCATTTCATTTCATTTCATTTTTTACTTGGATATCTGTCTAGTAGATTTGTCACCGAAAAATCAGTCACTTACAGGTTGTAGCCATCTTTGTCGATTTGGAGGATGTATATATGTATATAAGTGAATACTTTAGTCTGCGTTCATCATTTTGTCTTGAGAGAATGCTTTCTTAAACATTAACTAATTAATTTATTTTATAATATATTATCACATGGCCATTACATAAGCATTAGCCAATCTCTTAATCATATACAGGAGTCATATTCAGGAATTATTAATTGCTCTTTGATGTCAGATATCTTCCAACTTCAGAGTTTTATCTTCCTTAGAAGGATGGTGGCTTGAAATTTACATCTAGTACCCATTTTTCTGATGAATGAACACCAAACCATCATTCTGTCCACAGCTGTTAACCAGAGACAATATATTGGTCCTTTGCTGGAGAGAAAGGTGGCATCTCAAACTGCTGATCAGGGTTTCCCCAAACTGTGGCTCACTGTTGGCTTTACTTTCATTTAGAAAATTTTGAGAAAGAACAATAATGGCATACCAGCAACCCACCCAGATCCAAAGAAGAATTTTTGTTTCTTTTCAAAAGCTCAGAGTTGGAACCCAGTTTCACTACTTATGATTGATGTTGCAGACAGTGATAAGTTCTGAACACCACGACTTTTATAATTTATTCTTCTCTGTTCTGTTCAACTTCTTCTCCTTTCCCACATCTTAGCTTCAAAGGACAATGCCTTTAACAGAGCCCTTAAAATATTTTGTCTGTTTTCAAATAGCCCAGTAAAGTGCACACTAGTATTTATCATCTGTCAACTTTAATCTAAAATACTCAAAACAATTGAGAAAAATTGTAATAAATATATACAACGAATTCATTATTGAGAATTATCGTGGCTTACACATGGATAAATTGAACAGGTACCTTCAGTAAGTCAATGGTAAAACAAAGTCTGCATCATTCTGCCCTCCGTCTTTTGTTCTAACCATGCGATATATATAAACTGTGACGTTATGAAGTATTAGACACTTCAGACAATGAGGAGATGCTTCCTGAGAAAAATTATTTTGTTGTTGTTGTTCTGATATGCATGTTTATCTAACAATACTTGAATTACAGAGCATTGAACACTAAACATGCTAACACTATTTCTTGCATTGCAGTTGCATAAGTTTTATGGTACTATTATTCATAAGTTAGCCAAATATAAGTTTAAAATGCATAGTTTACCTGTGATTTTGCTTTAAATTAAGTACAGACATTCAATATTTGTTTCTAACTTCTCATTTTTTGTTAATTCAATGTAAATCTTTAAAATATAAAAATATGAGATTTTTGTAACCATTTCAGAATCTAGGTTATGAAGTTAACTGTGCAAATAATTCATATGATCAGACCAGTATAACTGTAGTGTTATAGTCACTTTCAAATTCTGAAATTATAATTCAGCTACCAGCAATTGTCTTAGACTCATAGAAACATAGAAGCATAAAATGGCTTGGAAGCATAAAATGGGTTGGAAGGGACCTTAAAGATCATCTAGTTCCACCCTCCCTTCCATTGGTAGGGAAGGCCACTAGGCCAGGTTGCCTAGGTCCCCATCCAACCTTGCCTTGAACACTTCCAGGGGTGGGGTATCCACAACTGCTCAGGGCAACCTGTTTTAGTACTTCATAGTAAATAATTTATTTCTAAAATGTAATTTAAATAAACCTATCCTCCTTTAAAACCATTCCTCCTTGTCCTATCATTATCTGACTATGTGTTCACATGATCCTGTATATCTATTTTTTGT